TAATTAAAATATTAAATAAAAATAAATTTAAAAAATTTTAAAATTAAATTAATTTAATAAATATTAAAAAATTATTAAATAAAAAAGTAATTAAAGTTTTAAATAAAAAGATTTAAAAAAAACGGGATATTTTAAATAAATAAAAAAACTTAATTAAAAAAAAATTATTTTAAAATATTAAATTTATAAAATTAAATTAAAAAAGTTATTTAAAGTTATTTTAATTAAATTTACTTAACGGTTTTATTTAAAAAAATATATTAAATTAATTAATTTTACATGATTTAAAAATAATTTAATTATTTATAATTTTTTATATTTTTATTTATATATTAAAGTTTTATACTTTAAATATATATATAATTTTAACGTTTAATTAAGTTATTTAAATAATTAAAAACGTTTATTTATTTTATAATAAAAAGTGAAAAGTTTTACGAAATAATTTTATTAATAAAATAATTTTATAAAAAACAACGTTTTTAAGTTTTAAAACTTTTAATTAATCGAATTTAAATATAAATAAAGTTAATTTTTATTTTTATATTTTTATTTTATAAAAACCATTTTTTAATTGTAAAACCATTTCATTTTTATATAATCGTTACTCGAATTATAATCGTTTTAATTATTTTAATAAAAATTTTTTTTAAAAAATAAAAAAAAAAAAAAAAATTTTAAAAAGTAAAACTTATAAAAATAAAAATCAATTAAATTTTTAAAATAATTCGATGAAATTAACCACTTCGTTTTATTAACTTAAACGTTTAAACCTTAAGTTTTTTTTATAAAGTTTAAAATACGTATTATAATGTACGAACGCGCGAGTTATAAATTTAAAGTTTAATTAATTTTTATTTTTTTAATTTTTTTAATTTTAATTTTATTTATATTAAAAATTAAATTAATTAAAAGCTTTAAAATAAAACCATTATATTATACGAAATTATTTTATATTTTTAAAATTATTATATAAAATAAAATATATTAATTTAATTATAATAATATTTATATATAAAATAATTATAAAAATCGAAATAATTAAATATAATTATAAAGTTTTATTATAATAATTATTATAATAAAAATAAAAAGTTTTAAAAAACGGTTTTAATTTTTATAATTATTTTATATATAAATATTATTATAATTAAATTAATATATTTTATTTTATATAATAATTTTAAAAGTATAAAATGGTTTTATATAATATAACAGTTTTATTTTAAAGCTTTTAATTAATTTAATTTTCGATAAAAATAAAATAATAATTAAAAAAATTAATTTAATTAATTTAATTAAACTTTAAACTTATAACTTTTACATTTATATATAATATATATTTTAAATTTTATAATAAAGTTTAAAATTTAAACGTTTAAATTAATAAAACGAAATAATTAATTTTATTAAATTATTTTAAAAATTTAATTAATTTTAATTTTTATAAACTTTACTTTTTAAAAAATAAAATTTTAAATTAAAAAAAAAAATTTTAAAAAAATTTTTTTTTATTAAAATAATTAAAACGATTATATAATATAAATAACGATAATATAAAATAAAATGATTTTACGGTTAAAAAACGGTTTTTATAAGGTAAAAAAATTAAAAATAAGAATTGGCCCCACTTATTTCAAAATCTGACCAATTAAAGCCCTTAAAACCTAAAAACGTTGCGCCCCACGAAACCATTCCGTCGGTGGAACCATTCCGTGAAACCCCAAACCTCCGCTATGGTAGTTAGCATCAGCCCTAAGGATCCACACTATGCGTACGGTTTCGAAGCCACCAAAAATATTGGTCCCAGGCGGGCTCGAACCGCCGGCCTTCGCATTGACTAGATATTACCAATGGTGGTGATATTAGTACGACGCTCTAACCAACTGAGCTATGGGACCTTGTTGAGCCTCACCTTATACACCAAAATATACCAAACGATCGCATTCAACTTTGTGGTCTAGAGACTTGGCCTTGAGTTGGAAGACTAAGAAAAAAAAAAATCAAGACCAGTAAGGCTTAGGAAGGGGGATTCACTTATGGCTTAAACCAAAGTAACTTCATGTAGATATAATGGAATGCGATGCATCCGCCGATAGAGAAAATATCGATATCGCTAAGAGACCGAGAAACGAAAAGCAGAAATCAAGATTACCTATAGATAATCTAAGATAAGTAAAGGGGCTACTGCAACAATCCTTCTTCAACAATCCTTCTAAGATATCTTTAAAGGAAGCGAAAGGCGGCGCTACTAAGCTACCTAGATATTGTATGCACTACAACCCACAGTCGTATGCTACCATAGAATCCATCAGGATAACTTAGGTAGGTACTTATCTAGGCAAATGTCATTCCCGGAATATTGATTCAGTCTGACTTCGGCATCTCCGACTCAACCGGCTCAGCCCATCTCACAGTTTTACCACTCCCGCCGCGCGGCTTATTCCCAGAGCTGCTGCCAGAACTAGAGTCCATTTTCGAGTCGTTCGTGTCGTTTGGTGTGGGTGTGGGTGCGGGTGTGGTGCTTCGTGTCGTTAGGTAGTTTATCGCAATGTTTAGGTCGCTGTTGTCTTGAGAGGACATATCGAGATTGCTGTTCTGAGAATTGTGTCGGAGCAAATTCTTCCATGATAGGTAAATGAAAAAGTTTTTTGGATTCGAGAGGAAGGCAAAGCTGAGGGCTCTCTGTGTGTTTAAATAGCCGTGTGTCTAAAGTTGCCTACGCATGGATTTCATGTTCCTGGTTAGCTGAGTGTATGCGATGAAATATCGTAACTTACGTAGATAATTACCTGGTGGTTATTCCGTAGCTTTCCAAATTAGTGTAAATACTGATTATGACAATTGTCTGACTCGCAAGGGATGAATGAGGAGAATATTCACACATATTGGGTAGATCATATGTAAGCTAACTCAACGAAGGACAATGTAGCGCAATATCGTAGTTGATGATTCACTTACACGTAAGTCCTTCAGCCCAACACATAATTATATGGATTTTCTTAACATATCATAGGATGTCACTTCAGAAGAAATCGCTCACTTAAGGTATAATTTCTGTTTATATGTGTTAGCATCGGCCTTGGGCCTTGCTTTATTGCAGTGTAAGTGGTAGTTAACGTGTAAATGTAAAACCATAAGATGATATAGGGCACTCAATGCTTAATTATGACTACTTAATAAACGGCTTTAGTTAATTGTTAAGTACACCTAAAGTGTAGCTTTTCTGATGCTTTAAACTGAATTTGATGAATAGGTGGTCTTAGATCACTTTTCTATGTTTGAGTATATCCTCCAAATAGCACAGTTTGAAGTAATGGTGTCACATTTGTCAATTGCTTCGCGAAAGATGCGTCCGCAATCATCGCTCGGGCTCGGTCCGTCTATAAAGAAGCGGCAACCGTTCGTCACAGTTACACCAAGTGTAGTGTTCTATAACCTTACCCCGTCTCCTCCCTAGGGATCATTTTAGCATTCTTTGATTGCGCTATGGCCTCACCTATCTCACCTGTCGCTGAGTTAGTACCAGAGACCCTGTTAGAAATCTTTAAACGACTCGCCGAGGATGGTGATGCAACGCTCGTCCCCTCCGTTCTGTGTTGCAGAAAATGGCAACCTTTGGCCCTGTGTATATTATATGACGACGTTGTTCTGAACCAACAACGTCTTATTAAGTTCGTGGAAAACTGCGCAGACCATGAGATCCGTTCTCTCACATTGCATACGGATGCCATTCCCATCAACCCATATGATCCAACTGAAGCCAGACAAACGGCCGAAGCTAGGCTGGAAGCTCTAAGACGACTTCGCCCACGGATTACGAGGCTTAAGCCCATATCAATATCAATCGTAGTTCATGTTCCGTTTCCGTATATGGCCTCGAGCGAAATCTCTTCTATTATAGACAGCTTGCCTGCCTCCTGTATAAGCTTAGAAGTCGATATGAGATACGGCAGCAACATCCAAAACCTTACAGTAGATTCGCAACCTCATTCGCACATGTGCGACGCCATTCGTGCTATTCTACCTCGGTTGCAGCACATCCGCCTGCGCCTCCCACGAATTTGTCCTGTTATTTTCTCTGCCGAGTCGCCTAGTCAGAATGCGCACCGTCAACCTATCCGCGCTGCGGGGCTCAAAACGTGCCTCATTAATTTCTCCCAACGCCTGTTATCAACGGGCCTAGAGAAGACACGAGATTGGGTGTCATCACTAGATATTTTAGAGACGTTAGCTGAGGGTAGCAGCTGGATAGAGACCACTACCGGAGCCCGCCTACCGATAGCCATGCTACGGGAGAACCAGGATACGCGTGAGGCACTGTCTTGAGGACCGTTCTATGAGCGCAATCGCGTCACTTGTATGTTGTGGAAAAACGAGGACGAGACAGGTGAAAAAATACTTCCAGAGGGGCCGGGAGAACTGATGCAGCAGTGGGATTTAAACGAAATAACACCTAGTGGTTGGATGAGGGACACACACAGATTCGGCCATGGTTCGAGCATGACTTTCATTTCTATACTAACAATAGCTCACTTCGCGATACTATGTAACCCCTTTAACCCCTTTTATTCCCCCACGCTCCTCGTACTTTGAATCAAGGTAGTTATCTGGATAGGGATACTGAGTTAATAGAACATAATAGTGTCAAACTCCATGTTGTTATTTTAGCTACCATTCTAGGTTAATGACTTGCAATAGTTAATGATTTTCAGCAAATAGTTCCAAGAATGTGATGTTTGTAACAGTCATAAAAACTATGTACCTGACCTAAGCTCGGGCCATCTTTAAGCGCTCTATAGTTTGCTTACTTAGTGTGTCTAGTGTATTTAAATAGTCACCACTGCATAGTCACGTACCAGTCTGTAACTCTCCCAAAACGTCATCCCTTCAATCCTACAAGTTGGAATGATTCGTAGCTAAATACATACCTTACTAGGTACCTGAGATATGCTAAATATAATTATCAGACTGATCCGTTACCATTTTCACATTCACATTCTTGCTGAAACATGATAGGCCTTAGGTGTGGGTACACTGAATTTGAATTGGTACCTTACCGATAGCTTCCTTCCTTCCAAGGTCTATGTACAATACAATACACATGGAAAGAGGTATCGTCCGTTGTTGCTTAAAACCGTTGCACGGTTGCACTGTTGTGAACTACTGCACGAGTACGTACCTGTTGTACCCTGCAATATATACGTGTGTCACAGCTACCTATACACTTAAAAAAAAAAAAAAAAAAAAAAAAAAAATCCACCTCAGCTGGTCAGGTACATGTGAACGGACCGTGACTTCCACATCATTCATTGTTTCTTATTGTTATGCCGGTACTACGGTACCGATTGTACTACCTGACCATCTGGCATCCGCGACCTGTTGGACCTGCCAATAGAGACCCACATTCTTATTTAATTGTCCCCTGCAACGCTGCTTCCCCCACCCTTGCCGTCTGTCCCAATCCAGGTTGACGGTATTCTCTAACTTCGAACTGCTACCAGGTCAACTACCAGGCAATTCTTGGAAGCAACACCGAAATTAACCACAATTCTCTTCACTTCTTAATTTTCTTTTCTTCTTTTCTTCTTCCTTTAACTTATTATGCAAAGTCCAGCCCTTCATTCCAAGCTACTCTTGAACCAGAGGGTAGCCTTGCCTTGATTCTTACTGGTAACTTAACATATCTTCACTTCTTTTCCCCACTACGTCGGCCCAGCCTTGCACCACATCGCATCGCATCGCCTCGTCTCGCCTCGCGTCGCCTTGCCTTGCCTCATTGGTATTGGTATTGCACATCAATTACCACGTGCCAATTACTTCGAGCTCGTGGACAAGCTCCGCCTCTTCCTCTTTTTAATTTGAGTGTTCGCCGACCCTAAAATCCACATTGGTCCCCTCACTCTCACGACCAGCCGCTGCGAAGCCTACGTGGCCCTCATTACTCCACCATTGTCTCCTCCCCGTCATCCTCGCTACCGTCATATTCAATTTTACTACGGGTCGTCCAACCATAATGGACTCGATATCCTCGCGTTTCCGTCGCATCAAGAGGGCTCCTCCTACGACGCCCCCCTCTGGAATCCGATCTGGATCACCTCCCGACAAATCATCGTCGGAAAGTAAACTTGGCTCTGTGGGCTGCCGTGCACCACCGCCGACCCTGACAATTCCAACCAACCATGCTTCTCGAAATGATCTACCTTCAAAGTCGCCTTTTCGTCGAGGGTTCCATTTTCGACATTCGCATAAGCGCGCCCGATCTCCCACTCCCACTTCGTTAGCTATGCCTCCTTCGCCCGCCGTAACTAGTCAGGATAGTGCAGTCGAACTTAGCAGAACAACTCCTGCTAGCGCTGTTGAAGACAAAGGTGAGAAGGAAATGATCAAGGAAACCCCCAAACCCAGGATTCCTGCTTTCCTGAATCTGTCCCAGCAAGGTATGTCTACACCATGCGCAAAAGTGCAACATTCTGCCTGTATCTGTTTATAGTATTGAGATGCTAATAATGCCTACTCTAATCATAGATATCGAGGCTAAGTTCCAAGATCTTAACTGGTCAGAGCGTTTTCGTCTGCAAGAGTCCTTCCATAACCCATCCCCGAATTTTAAATTCGCACGCGTTACGACACCCGAGACTAAGATTCTCGACCGGTACGCGAACATTCAACCATGGGCCAACAACCGCGTCAAACTACAGGTGCCAGACGGTCAGCTTGATTATATCAATGCGTCGCCCATCACTCTCAATTCCCTCCTAGATCCTCAGTCCAAGCCACCGCATCGTTACATCGCCATGCAAGGACCCAAATCAGGGACTATGGATCACGTTTGGCGAATGGTAGTGGAGCAGCTACAAAGCCCTGCCGTAATTGTGATGCTGACCGAAACACACGAGGGTGGAATGGAGAAGTGCTATCCATATTTCCCTCGGTTCGTCGAGGAAGAGCCTTGGGTAGTAGGCGAGGACGACGAATTTGGAGACGGGTTTCGCGCCGAGATTAAGTGTGTTGATATCGAAGAACACGCGAACGGTGCAATTGAGGTTCGAAAGCTCAGCATTCACGTCGAGGGCCGAGAGGAGGATATGATTGTATGGCACCTCCTTTACCGTAAATGGCCCGACTTTGGCGTCCCTGCCCTCGAGGACATTGACAGCTTCTTCGAGCTCATGCGTCTTTCGAGAGAGAAGAATGCAAGTGAGGACAACCCACGAATCATTCACTGTTCGGCAGGTGTGGGCAGAAGCGGAACGTTCATCGCCCTTGAGCATCTCATGCGAGAGATAGATTCAGGTGATGTGGATCGTCTCGAGATGAATACCAACAGTGATGGGGAGGATCTCGTCTATAAGACGGTCGACGCGCTGAGGGAGCAGCGCAAGCAGATGGTCCAAGCCGAGTCGCAGTACCTATTCATTTATCAGGTGCTGCGTAAGCTCTGGCTGGACAAGCATGGGCTTACCGAACAGGATATCCGGGAGGAGCCCGCAGCTAAGAGGTTGGAGGTTGATTTCGACCCTTTTATTGATTGAAGAAGTTAACATGATGAAGATGAACTACGCGGCGGTCTTCGTATCATACCATTCACAGTTTTGCACGGCATCGCGATGGCGTTAAGAGGGGATACATTTGGTTTCGGCACTTCTCTTCACCCGTCGGATTTTTATATCACACTATGGTCTAGCATAACAACGGGCACAGGATCATAGGAAGGCATAGGGGTGCATTGGAAGTATTATTCATGGAAGGGCGTCTTTAACATCAATGGTACACGAGAGGATTTCAGGAATTAGGCCGTCTTCTAGGAGCAAATCAAGGTATGCATAGGAGGAAAAGCTCTACAAGGCCTCTGGATTCGGAAGACATTGTCATTTGAGAGATACCCTTTCTATTAAATTAGCCGATAGCAGATAACCGCCGCATTGGTTTGTACAATTTGCGAGTTTGGGACGGTTTCACTGTAGCCGTCGTTGGTATTTAAAGGCACAGATTGTGGCGTACAACCGCAAGAGTGGGTTACACGGTGCAAGACTCTCATGCCCTCAGATAACGATACATCACGAAGGTCACAACCTATCATGCAGGTTCATGATGTAAGGGCACTGGAAGTCATATATCTGGTTGAACTTGCAGACTTGTAGCTGGGGTAGCTACCCCGCCTTGGCTGATCCCAATCGTCGATAGTCAAATAATAATCATGAAATAATTCATGAACCCTAAATTGTCTTCTCCGGACTTTGCTGAAGTGACATGAAAGCTCTTGTTTAAATTTTTGACATTAAACTTTCTATTACCTATATCATCATTAAGGAAGACTAGAAACCCGGACTCCAGCATGGCAAACCCACACGCGAAATCAGATCTCCTTAAGCTTGGTAAGACCTTACTAGAAAACGGCCCCATCAAGACTCTTGCCACACCTCGCCGAATACGAATCTTGTTCAACAACACGTATGTGGCTGACACGACGTCCGCGGTCTATGTCTGGGAGCACGAGTACTACCCGTACTATTATCTACCAGAGGAGTCGTTTACACACCGCCCGTGTAGTTTGCCCGGCGACGAAAACCCCCAGTACCGGACCGCAGCACTTAACGTCGGAGGCCGGACTACGGACCGGATCCTCGTCTTCGGGGGCGGGCTAAGCCCTTCCTGCAAGCCACTGGAGAGGATGGTGCGGGTTGAGTTCGGGGCTGCGGATGCCTGGTTCGAGGAGGACGTGCCGATTTACGTGCACCCGAAAGACCCGTTCCGACGGGTCGACGTGCTGCACTCTTCGCGGCCCCTGGAGATCCGCGTCGACGGACATCTGGTTGCGCAGACGAGCTCTTCGTATCATCTCTACGAGACGGGGCTGCCGCGCCGGTTCTATGTGCCGGCGACGGCGGCGGCGCGGGATAAGCTGAGGGAGAGCGAGACCTCGACTGCGTGTCCGTATAAAGGCGTGGCGAACTATTATCATGTAGACCTCGGGGGTGGACGGAAGGTCGATGACCTGGTCTGGTACTATAAAACGCCGACGCTCGAGTGTGCGAGCATCGCGGGGTGTTTGTGTTTTTACCATGAGAAGGATGGGGTTGAGGTTAAGCTTGACGGAAAGGTGCTGCAGCGGCCGAAGACGCATTGGTCGTGAAAGTGCTTTTTGGATGTTTTGGCTTTCTCTGTAAGAAAAGTTATTCTTATAAAAAGAAAAAGTAAAATTCACCCTTATTCTCGCTGCTTAACACGCCTTTCCACCTTTCTCTCCAATATAGCCCCCCTAAACCCTCTCAAATCAAGCAATTCCCAATGCCAAAAGTCTTTTAGATTCATTGTCTAGGAGACTCTTTGGTACTGAGCAAGAAGCTAAATTACCGCCAACGTATAGTATTCCCTTACAAAATAACACATGCAGTTAATCTAAAAGGTAATATCGTAGTGAAGTATTTAACGATACAAACTTACCACTTACCAAAAGACGTCAGTTACGTTGTCCTTCTTTACCTCTACTCCGAAAGCAAGCATCTTTACAACCAGCTGAAACTACTACCTCACCATTTCTATTTATTTATAACGATCAACCCTCAAGGGAACCCTCAACCATGTCCTCAACCGCGTCCTCAACCGCGTCTTCTATATCCAGCTGGATAGACCATACTATTCCAAACCCAATAGATCCGAACCTAATATTACCAAGTTCAAGAACATCATATATCTCCTTGAGCACAACTTCTAACCCTGACACCATGCCTCGCTCAGAACTAGACTCCTCAACCTCAATGTCAACCAAGAGCAAAGATGTCAGCCGCACAGTCACCAGCCCCGAATACTACCGGAAGTTTCTACTACCAAACTGTATAAGGCTGACTGGCTGGCCAATTAGGTAGCTGTATTGTATGAGGCTATTGGATCAGATAATGAGGCTGCGTGCCATCTTAAGAGATTGGGGATCACGCGGGGTTGATATGAAAGGTACATGTGTATGCCAATAAAATTATATGAGAATACATGTAACACTACTAAGACTACCTAAATACCTGGCAAAAAGACCTAGAAGGGACTATAAATCGAACATCAACTATATGTACTTGATTGCATAACAAATTTAACATGTTTTAGTCAAGAACGATGTTCCCAATTCGTCATGCCATGTCTTAATAAGGACATGAGTATATTATTTGTCGTAATTCAGTACGTAATTATGTCTTTATTAGTCCATGTAAAGAGGTCGATATTCTCCTCTATTGGACCGACGTGCGCGACATAGTACATGGGTGTTTCCGAATGCGTTCTTCTATAAGGCAGGGTCTCGTTCAGGCTAAAAGGTAAGAAACGACAAGGGGTCTAGTAGGGTGTTCGAGGCCTCCATTCGAAGCAACGTTGGTGATGCGCCGATCCGAATGGGGACGACGTCATTGGACGAGGCAGCGCAGCTATGTGAGTCTAATAATAATAATAATAATAATGGTTCGTCGGATCTTCATATGAGTCTGAGAACCGTGGGTCGGATATCAAAGCGGGCGGAGATCGCGGGACAAGGAGCCGAGTCGGCTGAGGTTGGTTGGGTTGGTAGTTCAGGGGAGACTGAACAAACGGCCCGGAGAAAAAGAATCCCAGAAACCTGGAATAGAAGGTGCTTCTTTTAATGAAACTCGAAAATCACCCCGTCTTTAGCAAGTGATGTGCGATGAGTGATGACAGGAGCTTACGCTTAGACGTGGAGTTCTGACGGGAGACGTGCATACATTAGACGAATGCATCGAGCCGCGATGCAATTTAGACTCTTGGTATACCTAACTCTTTGTATACGGACGTAAAGTCAGATGTCATCGGATTCCCTCTGCGCCTAGCCGGAGACGAAGGAGAGGTCATACGGAGCGGAACGGCTCGCGATGCAAGTCAGTCTTGTACTACGTGAGCATTCAATAGGAACCCGGCGGGAATACACAGTGGAAAATAAGCAATCCCCAAATGAGACACAAGCATATGGTTCTGAAACCCTACCTTCCGGACGTGATGGTTAACGTGATGGTTACATTCTGTCCCGTGTCCGCACGTGTGCACCGCTTGACGTACCCCGGACCACGCAATGGCGGGACGACTATGTGACTATGTAGGTCGTGATCAGACGAACTTGAGGCAGGCAAAGGTGATTAGCCGAGTCGAAGACATTGCGAACCCCAAATCTCAAGGATGAGGTTGTATTACTGTTTAAAGACCCTTAGAGTTGTAGCGACGAGCCGGCTATTTTGTATTAGACGTAATGCGCCTAGTATGTAATCCGTAGCACCCAAAGTTAAGGCTCTCTGGGTTCAGCGCAGCGGTTCGGTCAAGGCTGTATATGCAAGAAAGACAGCGTTACGAGATTGGTAACCCCGGATCCTCGAGGGACCATACGCCGATCTGGGCAACGCACGGGTCACGCCCACCCGGTGGAGTAACATTGATAATCAAATTCTGAGTGTAGCGTCGGACTTATTACTAACGCCATCGAGACCGGTGAACGTGTCGTTGTGGAGTTACCTATGGAAAACGCCTCAAGCATCATACCTATATACTCAAAGGAGCGGTGGGAACGCCAAAACCAATAGAAAGAAGTTGTTTAATAATAACTAAGTCATGAGGATAGTTTGTTCGTTTGCTTGATAATAAGTATTCTGAGCGGAGCAGAAACACTTCCTCGGATCCGAGACCTTGCTTAGCGTTATGTAGGTATCTTCTCTTTTAGGTGGAGAGTGTCGAAATCGCATGGATGTGGCAGGGAGATGAGGCCCGAGGGCAACAAAAAGGTGGCCCAGTAACTAAGTAGTAATAACGTATGGCTCTAAACAACAAGGAGAAAAATGACAAGAGAGAACGGGGGAATTGATTGATTATGAGTTAGGTAGTTTGCGTGGCATTCCCGAATGTTCCGAGAGCTGGAATCAGCCGAGCTAGCTATTGGTTGCAATAGAATAGGTATATAACAGGTAGCTAAAGGTGGAAATGAGGATATCCAGGTGTGGTAGGTATGCCTGTTTACGTACCTAACCTAATGTCAGAGTGTCGGGCGTGCTGTCATTTCAAAATGGCTACTGGGCCATCGTGGGATGCTGTGTGGTAGTAGTGGTAATAACGGTAGTTGAGATCTTTCTACATAAGCTGCATGGATAATTATTAATTGGCCATGTGCTGCCGAATATAGGTAGCAAGCTGGAAGCATGTGAAGGAACCGATATGCATAGACGTATGTATATATGTATATGTAGGTGTATGTAGGTGTCCATCTGGGCTGCCAGGTAGGAGACTCGCTTATTTAAATTAGTTGGAGTCTAGACGGAAGTGATGTAATAACGGTGGAAGTAGAGGAGCATGATGACAGCTCGTTTCTGTAATATCCCGCTAGAAATATAATATAATATCTACTTCGTAAACTCGTACATACGTGTGCTTACATAGCATAGCACGAGTTGCGCGCGTGTAATCGTAGGACGACAGCTGAGCCGTCAGTCTGTATAAAGTAGTTCGGAAACTCTTACCAACCTTGCCCATGCCTTTAGTTGGAGTGCTGACATCAATGCATGTCTTACCTTGGGATAGAGGATCTTTTCCGATTCGCCAAACATGGTGTTAACGGTTTTTCCTAAGATGAGAATATACCTATGTCTGATTACGATCTCTATATAAGATAGCGTTCTTGGGATAAACTCCGACGAATACCAGTAGGGGAATATCTGTAAAATTCTCCAACCGTGATTCGGAGTTGTTTTATTTGGCTTTCCTCTTTGAGGCTTTTCGACAGTCGACCTTGACTCCGAATTCCCTGTCGTGGACAGGGTGTTTCTCCGACACAACGCTCCCCGGATTCTACCATAGTTAGGATTTGAGGTAGTTACCTACCTAAGGTATGTATAATTTTGGTATAGTTAATATGTCCTCTGGTGCGAGTAACTTGATTGATCCAAAACATCCATCATGAATTCTGATTGAACATACCTAGTATAAGGTACCCACCGTGTCTCCCTCGCACCAAAGGACATAGTATCGCTATGTTGTTGCTCTTTTTGGAGTTTGGATGTACTATGTAGGGGATGATATCCGACTACTGGGATGAATTAGCCAATTATACGTAATGGTTATAATCTTGGTGGATACTAGTGATGCGACACCCGATGATATTCCCTGTGATTGTAATTTTGTCTAGTTAGTGTAGAATATCAAGGTACACATGTGAGCGTTTTTTTTCGTCGAGACCTCGTCTTGAAAATACCCGGCTCTTGCCAGCATATGAATCATACTGACATGTAAGAACCTAATGTCATATAATAATTCTTTTCCGTCCGGCCGTCTTGCATGGTGGGTGTTGAGACCGGCCATTCAACTCGAGTTTGCCTTCTTCACATGCTCTTTACATATGGACATTTCGAGTCAGGCTCAGGCTTTCAAGTTTCAGCTTGTCGGTAAAATCCATTGCTCCCCATTTTATTGAAGTAGTGTATCTTTGTCGTGCCAAGAGCTCAGAGTTCGACCGAGATCTATCCCGGCTCATCCAAACGTGATCGGCAAACTTGGGCTGCATACGTAATACCCGAGTGGCTTTAAATACGATCCGGACAGCCAGCAAGTTAGCCTCTTCAACAAACAGCTAGTTGATAGCTAATAACTAATAACTAATAGCCAATGGCTAAGAGCTATATAGTTCAACAGCTGGGTTGAATCGCATCGCTAAGAATCCTTCGGGGAGAATTATAACCCCGTCCGTGGTACGATAATAATAACAATAATAATAATAAAAAAGCGAAGGAATTGTGAGGTCCCCTTCTGAAATTTAATTGTCGCACCCCTAGGCCGACACGCGACAAGTGGGTCGAAGAATTGGTTAATAATAGGTGAGCACCGTCTCGTCGGTGTAGCGGTCCCGCATATGCATACTATGACTAGGAGTTGAGGTCCTAGCTGGGCTAGTACTGCATACTATTCTGCATACTATTCTAGTGCTTCTTCTAGAAGACCGCCCCTACCGGCTAGACCGTCCCCGTTTAATGTGAACTAGGGCACCAGAACGAATCTTCCCTCCGCAACCAAAAGGACCCAAGACCCGGCAGTACCACGTCGTAGTGGACATCCTAGCTGGCTAAGCTGGCTAGCTTGGCTTAGGATCAGTTTCTGGAGCGG